GGCACTGCTATGGGGGAGGATTAATGAAAAAAAATTGAAAAAATTCAAACTTATACATTCTTATCATTGTCTAAACTCTTAGCAACAAAGCTGTGAACACCTATGGAAAATTCCTTCAGAAAGGCCTGAAATAAAGGGATTTTCTGCAAGAACGTGCAGACAACTGAGCAGTGCATTACAACACAAGTCTTCAGCTTCAGGAAGTGCATGGAAATTTATGGTGGAAGTTCTGAATCAGACATTCCTGAACTTTTCTGACAGACCGAGATGAGTGAGGTCGCAGGAAAGAATGTGAGCTGGGGCAAGGGCTTGCAGTTTGGGTTACCAGGCACAAGAAGGGCCAGCAGTAGAGTTGTTTGTTCAGTAGGATATTCTGTCGCAAAATATTTTGTAGCTCAAGAGTAAACAACAAGAGAAAAAGTGCACTTCTACTTCAGAGGGATTCTGTAACTTACTTCCTTATTAAAAACATCACTTGCTCTGTCAGGTAAAGGCCTCGCTTTCCCAAATTGTTACTTTGGGTTTTTTATTCTCCCAGTTACAGGCTGAAATGTGACAAGAAAAACAACTATGGCCAAGGCACACCTGTGTCCTAACTTCTTCCCATTACCTGCATCCACCTTCCTAGTTATGGCAGAATCACAGAACATCCTGAGTTGAAAGGGATCCCCAAGGGTCATCGAGTCCAACCCCAGCTCCACACAGACCACCCAAAACCCAAACCCTATGCCCAACAGCAGTATCAGGAGCAGTATCCAAACAGCCCTTGAACTCCAGCAGCTCGGGGCCATGCCCACTGCCCTGGGCAGCCCCATTACCCTTTGCTGAAGAACCTCTCCCTAACCCCCAGCTGCCCCTCCCCTGACAAAGCTCCATGCCATTCTCTCAGACCCTGCTGCTGTCACAGAATGCTGCCCTCAGTGCTGCATCTGCCATCAGGCCTCCCCTCAGCTCCTCTGCCCTAGGCTGAATGCACCAAGTGATTTAGATTCAGCCCCAGACAGTGCCACTTCAGACACTGTTCTGAGGATGCTAACAAATATCTCCTCGTGCATTCGGCACATTCACACGCGTGAAACTTGAATCTATTCCCCCACATTGGACTCGCACATGAAGCGCTTATCTGCTGTGACCCCATTGTTTATTTGCTAAGAGATCATTATAGCAAGGAAGAAATGTTCATTTCTGGCTTATCTTCATATTGCACGCAAACACACTGTCGGTGGCTACAAGTTAAAAATAACACCACTAAAGAACAAGTTGAAAGATTATTTGGAAAAAGCCAAGGTACATCCTATAATTAAACCATTGTTCCTCCCAGGCACTGGAAGTGGGAACATCTGCCCAGCAGTGGCATCCTGCTCTGGTGCCTTCTGGCACATGACAACGTGCCAGCACTGAGCCCAGGGCACCAGCAGCGCTTCCCTCGCCTGCTAAGACAGCCTGGTGCCATCATCCCCCTGTGGCTTCCTACTGCCGGCCCGAACCACATCACCAGCTTCCAGAAGGAAACTTGAAGTATCAAATGTATATCTAAAGCATACATACATTGAAACAGCCCTTCCTGCAGACGTCAATGTGCAGCACGCAAACAGTGAGCCAGTATGTGGAGCTTCTGAGGCAGGGAGCTCTTTGAGTACCACGCCATGCAAATGTGCTGCTAGGGCAGAGAGGGATTAGTGCTGGTTCTCTTACTGCAAAGCAAAAGGAGCCCTGTTTTGGGTTTGTGGGTTGTTGTTTTTTTTTAGGTTAAACTCCTCCAGAACAGAACTGCATGCTCTCTGAGGTGGTCTACGAAGCTAATAGGAAATGGTTTTGATAGGACTGAAATTTTATAGCTTTAATATAAGATGACATTTGGAGGAAAAAAAAAAAAAAAACTAGATTGTTATTAGTCACAGCTCGAGGGCATAAAACCATTTGTAATTTATGAACATTAAGAAGTTAGATTCCCCAAAGTAGTTAAATTAACTTTGCAGTTCAAGTCTTCAAAGAGAAAATGAATAGTTTAATAAAGCAGTTAAAGAGGAGAGCTCTGTTACACAACAGACATGCTGAAGTACAGGCTATGTATGTTTCCTTTTTTTTTTTATTTAGAGTTCTAGTCAATGGAGTGTTGAGTTGTAGTACGTAGAACACAAAGAAACAGGGACACACAGAAGACGTATGGTGCTAAGAACTTCCCAAAGCAGGTGCAGAATTGTTTGCCTTCCAAAAATAAAATTTAAAAGAAGTCTTGTCCAAAATTACCAAGAGGTTTCTGCACTACATGTGCTCATGCAGTTTAGTTTGCTTTCTCCAACAGACTACACCAGCTCTAACAGTCACTGAAGCCGTACCTACACCTGAGTGCTCACTGTGCTGCTGTCACTGCATTCCTTGCTCTGAGCCTGCGGTGAAGACAGGGTGAGTAGTAAATTGGTGCAGGACTGAGTAGTAATGTCAGCTGCAAATTCACATCTCCCTAATTTGGGAGAAGCTGAGCCCAATGAGTTGGTTAACATGAGCAGGCAGTGAACATGATACTAACACTGTCATGTTATTTCCTGTACTGACATGAAGACGATAAATATATTTTCTCTTCCCAGCACTCTGTCAGCTCCCAATGACTTGGCCTAATGAGTTCCCAAAAGCTAAAAATAAGTATCTTCACTAGACAGCCGTAGAAACAAAAACATAGGCAGAGGAAAACAGAGACAGAAAAAAGTCACTTTCAGGGAACAAGAAAAAACAAGGTCCTTGTGTCTTCATACAGAAGCTTCATTTGTTTGTTTGCTTTTCATTTCACTTGATAACTGCATTACAGAGATATCACTCATAGCTACATTTCTTTCAGATTCCAATAGCACTGGAAGATAAAGCTGAGACTACTTCCAGAGTGGAAAACAAACACTAGAAGACTGGTCAACAGCACAGCTGTGGACAGCAGGTCTGATGGAGCAGAGGGCTCTCTCCCCACCATAATACTCCCATCAGCAGCACTGGGCAAGCATGCCTGAGCCCCAGCTTCCAGCATCCCCATGCTCAAACAGGCTGCCCAAAGAAGTTACAGATGCCCCATCCTGGGCAGCCTGATCTGGTGGGTGGCACCCCAACTCACAGCAGGGGGTTGGAGTTCAATATCTTTAAGGTTCCTCCCAACCTAAGCCATTCTATGATTCTGATGACACACTATTTCCCACCAGCCTGGTCTATTTGTGGCTTATTTTGGCCAGTCAGCTCTGTGGATTTCAGGGTGGGTTTCTTTTCCTGTGGCAACTGCCACAGCACGCTTTCAGTCTGCTGATTCTTGAAGTTTTAGCACATTAATGCAGCCCTGGTGTTCCCGATTTAGCTCTGTGCCCTTCACACCGGCTTTGTCCCTGCTTTCCAGCTGATTTCCTCACTGCACCAGTTCCTACTTGTTCATCGCTCTTTCCAGCCACCCCTTGCAGAGAGCGTGGCCTGGCAGGGCCAAGGCTCCAGCCTCACCTGGCACAGGCTCACAGCTGTCACGGGGAAGGGCTGGCTCCCCGCGCTCAGCCTGGTGGCCCCACGACCTGACTGACTGGTTCCTGAGCAACTGGTGGTGTCACTCCCCACCGGCAGCCGGCCACCACACCACAACCACCTTTCCCAGGGTGAGCACAGCACCAAGGCTCCCATCATGGGACTGTCACAGTGCGGGCGGCTCGGCTGCCAGAACACCGCACTGCCAGCGGGTGCCAAGGGATCCCTCCTGCACTGAGCTCAGGGACATTTGGAAAGGTCAATCAAGGACAAAGGAACAACTTGAGTTCCAAAAAAAAAAAAAAAAATCCACATTCCAGAAGTAGGCTAAAAAAAAATAAGGGGGAGACTAGAAGATGTGTAAAGAAGACAGGTTAACGCAACGTCCATGCGGCTGGAGCGTTTTTCCATGGGAGCTTTTGTTTTCTCACACATATTCCACCAGCACAGGGATAAAAATAACACGACCACAATGACGTCTCTCTAGCAAGAGGAATGACTTACGGGCGCAGGCCGAAAGTTAAGGTTTCCTCTTTGCCCCCAATTTGAAACCGTTGCCAGCCAATCAGAGGCTCGCCAAAATGATCAGCAAAAACATCCCTTCCTAAAAACCAGAGTGCAACGGGCTCCCAGGGCGCGGGGAAAATAGGGCAGATGGCACCGCAACTCGCAGCAAAGTAACTCCGCTGGGCTCGGAGCGCGGCGACGGGGGGGGGGGGGGGGGGGGGGGGATGAGCGCAAAGCTCATTATCCCGCAGACAGCTGGCAACGGCACCCGTCCGGGAGCAGCGGGATCTCACGGCGGGGTGCCGGCTCGCCCCGGCAGCGCCCGTCTCCGCCGCGGGCTGCGCGCCCCGCCACGGGGCTCAGCATCAGCCCGCCGGAAGCGCCCCAAACCGGGCAGCGGGAGGAAACTCGCACGCCCTCTCCGCTCCGCTGCCCGGCCAGCAGACCCGCGCCCCGACACCCTCCCCGCCTCCACGCCCGCGGGGAAGGGGCCGCCTACCTGGGGGCTCCGCTCCGCCGGGTTCTTCATCACCGCCTGGCGGAAGCTGTTATCCACGTAGGACGCCATCGCGTCTCGCTCCGCCGGCGCGGCGGCCGCTCCCGCCCGGCTCGGAAGGGCGGGACGGCAGAAGAGAGGAGAGGAGAGGAGGGCCGGCGGCGGCCTGGAGCCGCGGCCCGGGGCGAGCGGAGGGAGGCGGCGCGGGGACCCCGGCGGCGCTTCGGCTCAGCAGCGCCGCCGCCCGGATTTAGGCCGCGGCCGAGCCCCGGAGGCGCGGGGGCGCCCGGCGGGCTGGAGGCGCCCGGCGGAGGCGGCTGCGCGCTCCCGCTCTACCCGGCGCTGCGCCTCCCGCCGGCTCGCGCCGCCGCATCCCCACGGGCACCTCCGCCGCCTCCCATCCAAGCTGCTGGGGGCTCCGCGCCCGTCTCGGCGCGGGGAAGTTGCTGGCTCGGGGAGGCGGGGCCGAGGCGGGCCGGCCGGGGCGGGGCGGGGCGGACCGCGGGGGGCCGCCGCCTCCGCGCACGGCGCTTTGTGCGCGCTGCCGGCCCCGGCAACGGCAGTGCAGCCGCGTCCCGCTGTCCCGGAGAAGCGGCGCCCGAGTGTGGCTGGCGGGGTCAGCGGCCCGGGCCGAGCCGGTTTGCGCCGAAGCAGGGCTGAGCTCAGCCCGGCTGCACGCCGGCCAGCTTGGGAAGCCAGCCCCGAGAGTCCGCGTCCGTCGTTTGAGAGGCTGAAATCCTAAAAAGGAGGGCTCCGCAGTCCCGAGGGATGTGCGGCACAAGGGCCGACGTGCTTCGGACAGGCGCCTGGTGCGCACCGCCCCGAGCCGATCGCTGAAGCCCCACCAGCTGGATGGGCAGCTTTGGCCGGGCCACCTGTTGCCATTCCTCCCGTCACTGACCCCCATCGACCCACCAGCTGTCCCTGCACAGGCAAGAAGGGAACCAAGCAAGGGAGCCCCTTTTGGGGCTGCCGAGCGGCCCTTTCCTCTCACTTAAGCATGGTCAGTAAAGGGCAGTGATCTTGTCTCTTGGCCTGTTCTGTTTGTTGGCCTGTTTGTTACTTGACATGAACACGTCACAAAAGCAGCCCGGCAACACTAAGCGTGGGACTGCTATTAAGGTGTCATTACTGGCAGTGTAAAACTATTGCTGTGTTTGCTTTCATAAGCAGTGTCTACCTTTCACTGATAAGTATCACGCAACGTAAATAATACCGGCATTAGGAAATGGGATTGGATTGATTTTCGCTCACTGACATAGATTTATATTTGATCAGAAGTAAGGTCTTGTAACGTTTATTTTTATTTCAGTATTTATGGACATCAGTATGAAGAATGGTTTTTTTTTCTTACATGCCTCAGGAGACAAAATCTTGTCCTTTTAGACACAGATGACCCTCTTACTGCCCATGTCTTCAAACAGTATTCTTTTAAACCTCTTGAAATTCTGCATTTAGTTCATCAACAAAGATAACTCTGGCTAATCCTACTCATACATGTCAGCAAAACATTTTTGCGTCTAATACTGATCATTCTGGGCAGACCACAGGACACAAAATAGGCAGAGCTCCACATCCCAGCCATATCTTGCTAGTGGTTGCTAACTTGTAGTTCTTATGGGAATTCATTTTTTAACCAACAGATTGAAAAATATAATGCCCTTTGCCCTGAAAAAAAAAAATAATAACAGTTTTAAATATTCCTCATACTCATCATTAGAGAGTATCGTTTCTTCAAATTAACCAAGCCTGCAGCTACATGAAAGTGCCAGCTTTTCTGAAGCTCAGCTTACCAACCCAGAGCGCTAAGATTTCCTTTTTTTGTGGGGCATATGTATATGCTGAGTGCCACAGGAATGCGAGGAATGCTCTCCTGGGCTCTTCTCCTCCATCACTTCAGGGCACTGAATATCTCCTGTTACAGACGAGCTTGCCTGACGTGTTCCTATCTCAAAATCAAAACATAGCTACCCACTCCATTTGAATATGCAATTAGCTTTAATTCCAGACCTATTACCTTTAACAGCATAAAGTGAAGTGTTTCACTGCGATTAATTTCTGTTGTGCTATCTGCTAGCAGAGTACCTGTGATTCACAATGATACTCAGTTTCAACTGACACGATTTTGGGTGCTCTGATTACGCTCTGCTTAGTGTAACAAACCTTGATGGCTATCAATGTATGTCAGAGGGCCATCACATGCCACAGTCTTGTTAGAGATGACAAGGAATGAAAGCTAGAAAATTATGTTCAAATACATTCAACACTTTCTCAAAAGTATTTAAGAACATGTTGTACCTGCTTACCCTTTCTTTAGCTTTCTGTAAGCAATACAGTATTACTCAAATACTCATTTTTTATGTTTTCTATGGTGGATATGAGTCTGTCCTGCGTGATGTTTGTTTTTCTTGCCAATATTATAGAAGTGCTTGCATCTAAGCAGGAAAAAAATATCAAATAACCATTTAGGCTAAGCCCTACTTTTCATGCAAATGTTGGTGAGGTACAATTTACACTGTCACATATGTTCTTGCAGCCTTCACGTTCACTCTTTCCCATTTTCTATCATCAACAGTAGAGTACAATACACACATATACCAGGATCTGCCATTCATTTTGCATTTCCTTTTTAGTTAAATATACATATAACATATATATGTAAATACATAAATGTATACACGCATAATTATAATTGCAGTAAGATATGTACCATCAGCGAGGATATAAACCCATGGATGTCCTTTCACCTCCTTTCTCTGGGTAAATTGTCTTATTTTCTTAAATTGTCTTAAATTTTCTTGTATCTTCTGAAGATTGCGTGGCATCTATAACAAATTCACACAGATGAGTTCCAGGATGCACAACTGCCTGTTTGCTTCCCAGCTCTCACCTAGCAACTTCTCTGCAGTCATAAGAAGTTCCTTTCATAACCATTTGTGTAGGTGGAATGCAAAGGTGAACTGCGGCGTCCATCTGATGGACCACTCCATGTCTGACATTGAGAACAAGGGCCGTTCCTATTGGACTGAGTAGAATCCAGTTTTATTGGATTTTAAGTCAAGGATGACTGATCTCTACTACCAGGGGAAGACCAGCTCCTTTGAACAGGTTTATCTTCTATGCTTGGATTTTTGGGATGACAACATTTCCTAGAATGCTGTTGCTATTCTATTGAGATTTACACATGGATGGGATTACTACCATTGCCAACTCCATTTTTTGTTATCTTTCACAACATGAAAAGAATGGCTGATGGTTTTTTTTTTTACAACATCCTATAGCTACATGTCTCATTTTCATCCAGACATCACCAGTGCACAAGCACAGTATATAACCACCACCCTGTATGCCTGTGGTGTAGGATAGAAAGATATCAGTGAGTTTACACAGTCCATGCTAAAGTACTTTTTGAGCATTTACCATTGCTTTATTGTCCCTTTGCACTTGTAAGGCAGCATAAAATCCAAAATGCTGTAAAAGAGGGCCTGGTTTGTGGCTCTAAACAAAATTTATTCCCCTTGAGATTAACAAGGAGAGTTTGTGACTACTATGATGTATTTCATGTATTTATTTAGAGTTTGCCAGTTTGCTTGGTTACATTTGGGAATATTTATCATTCAGCTTTTGCTGTGGCTGCATCCACCTAAAGCAGCTTTAACTAGTGAGCTTACTCCTAGCAGTGGTAACTCAGGGACCTCCACAAATTAGCTGTCCAAATACTTACACTGTCTTCTGAGAGGAATTCACAGTCCACACAGCATTCAGATTCACAGGTAAAGGAACCTATACAAAGGGAAAGGTGGCTGAAATCTGTCTTGCAGGAACACCTTGGGAGCACAGTGATGGATCATGGACCATTATGCCAGATACTGAATGAACACCAGATATATTAGCACGAACTCTCAGAGGTCAACCTGAATTTCTGAAGTAAGCTCAGATAGGCTCACACAAGCTTCATGCATACTTGTGATCACGATGCAGGTGTGTCCATCATCTCCCCATCATGGAAGTGCTGTTAGGACATGATTATGAGTCTTCTGCCCTGCTTCCTCCACTTGAAGAGTGGTCTTCAGGATTTCCCTTCGCCTTCTCATCCTGTAAAAAGAGGAACAGTTGTAACAATTGCAGGCAGGATTAGAACCACAGAGTCATAGAACCCTTAGAGTTCAAAGGGACATCTGAGGGCATCTAGTCCAATGGCCCTGCAACGAACAGGGGCACCACAGCTAGATCAGGTTGCCCAGGGCCTGATCCAGCCTGGCCTTGAGAGTCTCCAGGGATGGGGCACCAACCTGTTCCAGTGCCTCACCGCCCTCACTGTAAAAGATTAGGAGTAATTCGGTCTGCTGAAATCTATTATACCACAATTTTGTGAATTATATGTTCAGCATCATATGCTTTGCGAATATTATATTTAAGTAGCATCCAAAATAAGGACAAAATACTTCATTCATACTCATGTTTTCATCACTGGACAAATTAGAGTTCAAACTTACATTTCAGTCTTCTGTTTTTAAACCAATATATTTCCTGGAAGAAAATGCATACGTAATCTTTCTTAAATAACAGTAATTGAGTTGTTTAAGATAATCTTTTGAAGTTCCTAAAACGTAAACATTACATGATTGTGCTGAAGTATGAAAAGGGGAAATTGTCTGGAAGCCAATCTAGACAGGATTACTATTTATTCAAAGCCAGCCAAGTCTTTGGAAGAATTTAACTCAAGTATGAACAATAGATAGCCAGATACTCATTAATATCCAGTGATACTGCTTTTCATAAAATACAGAAAGTTGGCAAAATTAAATCTGTTGCACTAATAGATCGTGCATAATGATTAAGAAAACATCTAAATCTCTGCAAGGAAAATGAAACATAAAAGAAGTAGGAATTTGTGTGGAATTTTATTCCACACAAAGATGTGAAATATTTATAAGTGAAAAATTTGTTGTTAACTCTGTTACTAAGACCTTTCACTGCAAATTTGTGTTTTTTTCAGTATTAGGTTCTACACTGATTGATTTTCACTATCATAAATCTTTTTTAAGATAATCATTTTTATTAAGTATGATTGACATGTTTGGCTTTTGGTCTATACTAACTCCTTATATATACATATATATGTATAATTTTCGGCATTACCGCAGGGCATTAATTTTTTTTAAATTAAGTTTACGGCTGGTAGCATTTTTCTGTTGTGAATTATTGATTAATTATTCCAGATATTGCCTTTCCTAAGTCAGCCACCAAGCATTGTTTACCGTACTGCTCAGTGAGCTCGTGTTGGAACTGCTTCTTGGAACGAATCCCCGAATGCCGCATTCCCCTCATGTTTCACCTCTTTACTCTTGTCATCATGTTCTATAGGAATCAGCCACACTCTCCCCTACTGCAGCACACCACGCTGCATCAGGAATATTCCCCACTCTGATACTAACGGCACTCATTGCAAGAGCGTTTCCAATTCCATTGTTTTCTAGTGACCTTTATAAATTATTCCATTGCTTCAAAATTAATAACTGTTGGGTAGTATGTTTGTGTGGTTCTGCCTTCTTCTTCCTTCAGTCATCGTTTAGATCTGTTCAAAAGCGTATGGAGATGTGTGGGTGTGAGCTTAAGTGAATGTTTCTAAGCTGTGCATATTCACACCTATATCACAATGTGACAAGTACTAGGTACCAATTTAAGTGGATAGAATCAACTTCAAGATCAGTAAAAGCTGAAAAAGTTAATATGTTTGTTACTTACAGTCAGTGACATCACACCTCATCAATTTATGTTCCTTTTTGTTGTTGTTGTTTGTTTGTTGTGCTTCCAGAAGAAACCATCTAGTACTTGGAATAAAACAGAACTAAAATTTAGTTTTTCCTTCTTCTAAAAAACATATTTGAGATAGATCAACACTGAGGTAAGCTATCAAAGCAATCTAAACGTATTGCCTAGAATTGCCCTCATCAGTCCTGACAGTATAGTGACAAGTATACCTACCCTCATGTATGTGGAGTGCCCTGCTGCAACCATTAACTGAGAACATTTGTATGTGATCATGGAAAACTGAGGGTTCAAAATATTGTTATGATCAAGTTTGTTTTCTAAATAATACATTTATCAGATGTCAGTGTGAAAATCAAGACTTTCTACAAGTCTTTTTTGTAGAAAACTTGTGGAGATTCCACTTCCTACTAGCTCTGTACAAATCCAAGGACTACATTCATCTAAAGAAAGAAATCCATGATAAACATGGAAACAATGACACGAAGGAGCTGACAAAAATAAGCAGCACAGCACAGGTGACTTGTCACTAGCCGTGGGGCAGAAGTTCATACAATGAGCCACTTATATTGCCAGGGTCTGTTTCTAAGGCAGACTTGAAATAAATAATTACTTTCCTTCTATTATTTTGTTTACATTTCACAATCTTTTCCATTTGTTAAACAGATAATACTCTTTAAATGCTCAGCAGCAAGATGTGATAAACAGCATCTTTGCTCTTCTGTAACAACTGATTCTGTCAGACCATCCACCATCACCTTCTTATACCACTACTGCAAAAACATGGGAACCTGCCACTTGCTTCACCTTTGATTTCCAGAACAAAATTTATTAAATAATAATTAAAAAAAAAATTAAGTAAATAAATGCCTCTCTCATTTTTGCTTCACGTAGGGGAAGCTGCCAACAGGAGATCTGCACCCAAGCAAATATATCTCGTAAATGTGTTTCGTAAGTCAGAATTGAAACTGAAATGTGGGAAGCAATTGTACAAAAGAAGTAATAGAGATGAAGATTACTTTTTTTTGTGGGGAGCCAAAAGGACGCTTTGGAAGATGGACATTTTGAAAGACGTATGAACTCCTTAAAGATTTTGTCATGGGGAAGTTATTTTCTGGGAATTTTTTTCCCTTTTTCATGCAACTTAAAATACTGTTGACATTTTGGCATCTTACCAGCATGATGAAAACATTGTACGTACCCTTGTGTATTTACCCATATTGAGTTCTTGTTTCTCTTCCTTTGGCTCCAGCTAGCTGGAATGGAGACAGCACAGTGTATTTAGTCCTTTGGACAAGAAAGTCTTGGCATCCCTCACGAGCGTCCTCCTCTAAAAATGCTGCAGAGTGGAGGCTGGAATCCAGAGTGTTTACAATTGCATCCATGTGAGGTAGGGCAAAAGTGGACCCTTTCTCCAGGTCCTCAGCTAATGAAAACCCATGTATTTCAAGGAGATCAGCTAGTTCCTGCGTGTTTAAAACAGCTCAGGATCTGCTTTCCTGGCCCTGGTTCCTGTTGGGGGTTGCTGGGAACTTCCATAATGTTGCAACTGAGGATGAGTATGCCCCCTTTCACCTCCAGCAAAAAATACTGAACTGTTTGAACCTCCCAGAAAGAGAGTTCTCTCTAAGTCATGCTCAGCAGTGCTGCTGGGAAGGGTTGCAGAACAAACAGCGAAACAATCTTACCCTTGTTTGTCCAACGGCAACGTCTGTGTCTTGTTAGCAACGCAACAGCTCATGAAATGATAAGTCCCCAGGTTGAAGCTAGCTGTGCAACTTCATTCCATGGATGCAAGTAGCTTATAATTTTGCCTGAAGCCTTAGCATTACTCTTGCATTCAGGATAAAGCAGATTCTTCTTACCACGGAGGGAAAGAAATCAAGTACAAGAGAAAATTTCATCTTTAATTAATTTGCCTTGGTCCTTTGCACTTCAGAAATAATACCAACCCTCCTGAAGTTAAGCATTCACACAGATATTTTGTTAATGCAAATGGACTTTCTGAGACTTTCTTTGAACTACTTATCATTCTTAACCTCCACTCCTCACCGATACATTTTTAGTAAGGATCCCACACCCCACACACATGAATGTGAGCCAGACAGTGGGCTGATACTCCTGGGCAATGTAAATACAATAGGTTAAAACACACATCAGCACATCTCCATAGTGCAAAGAGGGGCCCTTCAAGCAGTAGCATTACACATTTTCTGATACCAGCAGAAATGGTGCAGGTACTCAGCTAATTTTAACTTGGAGGGCAACGCTGAAGCAAGGGGAAGTATTTCTCTACTGTGGTTAGATCCTGAAAGACCAACGTATGCAGGAGTCGAGCTGCATTTCATTTTGTGGGAGCTTCAAACCTGATGCTTCCAAAGACAGTCTTGTGGGAAACAATAAAGGGATTTGTAGGTGGATGGAGATGTGAAGGCAACCGTTAGGCAGCGGTCCACAGGTAAAGTGAACTCACACCGCAGTGCTTGTAACTCTTTGTTACTGTGAGATTTAAAGAGGAATAGAAGTGCTGGATGCATCCAGAGATCTGCATAGCTTTAAGGCAGCGATTTAAAACTCAAATGGTTTTGCAATGAGCATACGTGTATTTTGTCATCAAAACAACATGGGGCTGAATAGGCCTGGTAGAGCATTTCTACCCCCCAGATGTTTGAGCTTAAATCACAGAGTCTTCCAACTCTAGCAGGCATTTGTAACATTTAAGGGCAAATGAAAATGCTTAATTGGCCCAGGTGTACTCACTTAACAAACTATAAAGCAGAATAGGGTAGGCAACATTAAAGGCTGTGGATGTGGAATCCATAAAAAAGTGATAACTTGTAATTCATCGCACAGCAATTCTCTGGGACTTTTTCTGCCCATCATTCCCATGAATTCATCTGAAACTGCGTAATGTTTAGAAAACCAAAAAATAAGTTGCATTTCCCATTTCTCCAGAGTAATTTCTGGGGCCAGATACCCTTCCCAGAGCAGCAAGAGGGAGATAATACCTGAACACAGAATTCTCTTGAAAAAAAGAAAAGATCCTTTTGGGGTTAAAAAAGCATTACTGGTTTACTCCGTTCCACTTCTCCACCCTACTGTATGCAGCAGTTGAAGGTGAGCATCTCTGCCATACTAGGTTGCTCATTAACTAGTTCTCAACATCTTTCTGAGAAGATGCAGAGTCCTGTTGTGACTGGACATAATTACGTTACTAAAAGAGGGAAAGTGGAGCAGTATTAAAATAAATGCTTGTTTTAACCATCTACCTTTAACTCATCCTTCTTATGATTTGAAGTAGATAGGCTATTCTCAGTCTATTTGCCCAGAAAGCATGAAGGATTTGTAGATCTATAAAGCAGATCCTTTTTCTTACAGTCTCCTGCTTGTTTATTCAGGCCAAGTGCCACTCCATCCCTTATTAAGAATTCCTTATTGGGATAAGGTAACTACTGATTGCTAAACCTTTTTCCTCTAGATACCTATGCATGTTCTGAGGCTCACTGAAGGTGCAAAACCCCCTAATGCTCACTCATCTAGTTTAGTAACCACATCTCACAATGTGATCTCATCCCTAGCCAGATTTTTCCTACTGGATGACACTTGAAGCATTTATTGGCTCGCCTGTGCAAGGTAAAGCGTGCCAAGGTAGTCATGCCAGTAACAACTGAGACAGAATGCAAAATTTCAAAAATGCCAGCCATAGCTATAGCTTATTCCAGCCCCCTCACTTAGATGAGATGCAATATTACAAAAACTTTTGATAGAGCTGAGTTCACACTTGGGCTGTTGCTGTTACTGTAGCTACTTTAATTATAACCCTACAGTTAGAATGGAAAAAAAATTAATCGTGCCTTGTCCTTTCAACTGAGAAGACAAGTAATTTTTATCACTCTTCATAACAACATTTCTCTCTGTTTAGAAGTACAACATGAAGCAGCTCCAGATCTTCCATCAAACTTGGGTCTCTTTGACTATGCCCTTTGGCTCCTGCTCTTCTGTGTTAATTGAAGCTGAGTACAGTAGGAAATCTGGCCTCACAACTTTTAGAAATGCTATGTATTTACCTAGTACTACTGTAACCTGAGATACATTTTAATTTTTGATGTCACTAATCACATCTTTCATATGGAGAGACATGCTCCCACGGTGAAACCGTGTGATTTTCAGACAGAACATCAGAGAGGAACCCCAGGGAAGCGTAAAGATTTTCTCCCTTTATAACGTTCACTGCACAGTGTATCTTTGAGCGAGACACTGACATGCGTCCCTCCTTGTTATGAAGCATATTACAAAATGCACACACCCACCTCACAGAACTGTTCTGAGGACTGGAGCTTGCAAAGCCCTTTTGAGGATGAAAAGCACTATATAAGTACTGAGCTCTAAGCTTGGGCATGTGGACAAGCTGTGCACATTCAAAGTAAAAACCTTTCTAATGACATCCATCTGCATCTTGAATACAAGTAAAAAAATTGTAAGACAGCCTGTCAGTGATCAAGGCCTTCTCATGCAGCTCACCCTACTGTTTGGCTGCTGGCCAGCCCAGAGAGCCCATGGAGGAAAATGGCTCTGGAGGAAGGAATGCGCATGTTAAGCAGAGGACAGCTTTTCTGAAGGGTGAGAAAAATCAGGCTAACACCCTCAGCTGCCAAAGCCCTCTCTGGTACATGGAGGAATGAAGCAAGATAGAAGGGGAGGCAGAAACTACAGTAGGCAGCGGCCCGCTATTCTTATTGAAGCCTGTGTGCCCTAAAAGCTGAAATAGAAAACATTTTTGCTTCAGGATCAGGTCTGCTTTGCACTGAGGACGTCTCTATGTGGAGAGGCTGGGAGAAAACAGGCAGGACTTTCCTCGGAGCTGCAGCACCTAAGCCAATCAAGAAGGCATGCCAGCCTTTGGCATTAGTGTTGCCACCAAACCCTTCCCAAAATTCTGGGGCTCAGTGCAATACAGCCAGAGCAACCAGAGGGGGCCTGCCTGGCTTCTTTCCTACAGTGCTTCACTCATGCCTTCAGACGCAACAAAGTTTTATTAAGTCAATTGCACAAGGATGGAACGAATAACATGAAAATGTCTATCATATATTTAGATAATTTAATCTAGAAAGCCTTCTAATCTTTCATTAAAATTTTACACACAAGAGATTTCTCCTCTAATAAATCATAATTTACATTTAGATAGTACCTCTCATTCTAATAGCTTGTCTTTATTGAGAAGCTGATTCCAGTCATGAATCACACGTTATCCTTCATTCAAATCCCTGCCATAGCCAGAAAGCCCCGAATTAAATATTTAAGCAGCTTTTAATTCACATTATCTTGTATCAGATCAATTCAGCACAACTCATCAACTAACACAATCAATAATTAATGTGCCTGCAGTTTGTCTGCACCAGGCTTCTGTCAGTCCTCCTGCCTCCTCCTACAGCTTGCTGGGAGAGCCCATGGAGAGCAGCCAGCTTGGCCGCTGCTCACCAGAGCAGCTTCATAGAAGAGCCCACTAAAACAATGACTTGCCTGAGATCTCTAGGGTCTTTTTTTAAACAAAGCTCCGCCTTGTCTTAATAACTAATTAACATATTCATTGTCTTCACTGCCCTGAGGCCTGCCTTCACCTCAGCAGCACATCCTCCAGGGAGGCTGTGTGGCCCAAGGCAGTCCTGACACTTCCCATGCTGCTGCTCCAGAACTGAGTGCCCTTGTGGAGTCCTTACAATGGAATTTGCATTCTTGTCACTCCTAGAAATTTGGAAATCATATGGCATAGTGCACCAAACATAAGTACTCAAGTTTTCCTGTATTCCATCTTTCCATCACTCATTAGTTTTTCTATACAAAATATAATCATGTCAGGTAGAAGAGAGGATTTTAGTCTCCTAAATACATACATCATTGACTGCAAAAGAAGTTTATCATAAAGGTGTGTAAGAAAAATAAAAACTCTCTTTTTCTGTAAGCAATACCAAAGCACAGCATCTCATGAGGAGGTACGACACCTCTTCATTCATGCTGACATTGTAAATGGCTAAAAGAGTCCATGAAGGTTTTTAAGAAAAGAGCAGATGTCACACTGAGGGATATGGTTTACTGCTAGGGTGGTGATAGGTTGATGGTTAGACTAGACGATCTCGGTGGTCTTTTCAACTATAATGATTCTAATTCTGTAAAGACAAGAGCTGGATGCAAGATGAAATCAACCCCAAGTCACACAGTACTGGGACCTATCAGCAGAGATGCTGACAGGAGGCTGCATACAGCAAAGCTGTGGACTCTTTGGGTGGAGGTTTTGTTGTGCTCCCACCCTTGCATGACAGAACACGAAGCCATCCAGCTGCAGGGCAGATGCAGGGAGGAGAAAGAGGTGTGAGGAAAGGGAGCAGGCTGCAAAAATGAGAGAGCAGCCAAACCAGACTGGGAGGAGCAGCTGGAGGATCAGGAGGAGGAGCCAGGAGCAAAATGTGGTTGAGCAAGTAAACCCGTGGTGATTCAGAGATGAGTGTCCACCAGCTTACTCAGAACATCAGAATTTGCCATAATCATGCACAGACAAGCATCCCCAGCCACGATTCCTGATACTCTCCATTGCCCTTTAGGGAAGGTTGGCACACAAATCAGAGCTGTCATGTACATAGGTGTCTCCAAAAGTGACGTCTCCTATTTATTTCCATGGAAATGACAACAGCTGCAAAGAGTACAAAAACAGTACTTGATAGAGCAAATTCTCAGCTACAAAACACTCTTTTTCAACACAGTAACCACCATTAGTTGGGCATTTTTTTCATCGATGAACAGGAGGCTGCATGCTGTGCCCATAAAAATATGCACCAATGGAGGTGAGCCACAGTCACTGTTGCCATTTCTGGGGTGCACCACTCACCCCTCATCATGCTCACAGCCACTGTTTGGTCTCCAGAAATGTTCAGCAAGCATCAGTGAATGCCAACGGTGCATTTCGGTGACACACCTTTGCTCCATAAGCAATTCCATGTCAGATGCCATTTTGTCAGACTGCTCCTCTGCTGCCATCTGTCACACGGCAACAAAATATAACAGGATATGGGTGGGAAGGTTCAACCTGTACTGCTGTAACACCAACATCTGCCTCTGACATCGCAGGCCGACATAATAAACCAAGTGGTGTTACTTTCAAAGCAGCCCTCATATGTTCCACTAGAATATTAAAGAACTTTTTGTTATCCTTGATTATTTGTTAATTAGAAGTTTTATCAGCTTAGACGTGGTTGGAAACATATTGGAAATCTCTGCTGAGTAATTTAGATATTACACGTATTGCTGTGGCACTGAAGGTTTGTTTTACTCCACAGGAGTCCTTTGGGATCAGACGTACAGGAATGGCTTGTGCCCTAAGGTGCTGACAAATGAAAGAAAAAGAGGAGACAGCAGATGGAATCAGCAGCTGGAGTATCTGCAGAAAATAAGGCAGCTCTGACAGGCACGCCAGCAAAGCTTTTGTCTGGGAGTCTTATTCTGTATCTTCTGCCATCACAAAAAAAAAATAAAATAAAATACTGAGTGAATCAGAGAGGAGACTTTTCTCTAGTGTTGAAAGACCAGTATGCCCTCATGAGACCACTTTCATCAAGTGGAGCATCCTGAAGATTCACAAGCTGTGTTACCATCATCTCAGAGAAAATTCCTAGAAATCCCTAAAAACTAGGATCTTTACAACTCTTGTTTCTTAATGATACATCATTATACCTGTCAACAAGCAGCTTACAGCAGATTGCACCCAAAAAGACAGAGGCAGCCTCTCTTGAGGTCAGCTATCCGAGCACACGTGCAGGAATCATCTCCAGGAGCAGCACCAGAGGCCCCAGTAGAACCCAAGGGACAATACATCACAATGTGCCCATGCACAAAAGCTGCTGGCACGGTGATCAGTGCAGCAGCCATGGTGCAGCAGAGCTGTGGTGCTCCCCAGGCACAGACAGCCTGCAGGAAGGCCTCGCTCCCTCGCAGAGCCAGCGGGTGCCATGCACTGGCAGAGGGCAGGATGGTGTTCTCAGGTAGGCAGCAATGCTGGGGGTCTCGGGGCATGCAGCTCCAGCAGGGACAGGGCAATGCTGGTATAAGTGAGAATAAGGTAGATGAAATAAGGACAAGAGAGATGAAAGTGCCAATAAAAAATGTCTGTTACCTGGCACCACAGTTTTTATTTCATCTCATGGATTGCCAAATGCCTAGAGACTAGCAGAGGGAAACCCCCCCCCTCCTTTTGCTGTTTATATTTCCCATACCAAGTAAGTATTGAAGTATTTTTCAACCATATTGTCCACAAGACATGCACGCATGCACAGTCAGAGACAGTGATGTGAACTGGAGTCTCTTTCCATTTAGAGCTTTTGTGCTCCACTCAGCAGTTCTCTTTCATCACTTAAGAAGTGTGCCCTGCACCTGCATATCGATGAAAAACTCACAGCACTGGAGGAGGGAGCATGGATCACTTCTGGGGGGCTGAATGAGAACCTCCTGCTGACAGCAAGCCAGGATTCCCCACTGGTCCTGGTTAGTGGCACTTACCAAGATGTCTTCCTGCTACAACTCCATTTGAATTTCAAATGCACCAGTACAAAAGAGCAGGCTCAAGAATCAAAAGGGTTGGACTAAAAAAAAGAAGTACTTTTATGAACTGAATCTGAATTTGTCTTGGAGCCTGCATTTCAATTAAAGCAGTTGTCTGCGTATCAATTCACACCAACAGTGTTTTTTGAGCAATACAAATTTAGAGACCAACGAATTTCATTGTACTTGTATCCTGCAATAACTATAACCGTACAAATGACTTCAATATCCTCCTTCTACCTTAAGTGCTAAAATATCACACAGAATATTTAATGACATACACTGTATTAAAACACAGTACCTACGTTTCAACTTCACTAAATATATGAGTCTGTACGTCAGTTACACACTGCAGTAGTTTCTGCTATTGAGTTATAAGTCACGGGAATATACATACTGCAGTTTAGGGTCAGATTGAGAACATATATAATCTAATATCCTTTCCAAAATTGCTATGAAATCTTACTCACAATTTTTGCTTTACAGCCTCTTTGCAGCGAAAAGTGACTCAATTTAGCTATGAACCATGAAAAAGATTTCCCTTTGATGTTTCAAGTCTATTCCTAGCAATTCAATTCTAGTTTTTGCTCTATGAAATGTTGTGATTGTTCCTTGTTCACCTTGTTCACAAATATTATTTAACAGCCCTGCTGGTCATTTCTGAGAGCAGGAGAGAATGAAATGTATTCAGGCTTCCTGAAAAAGCAGAGTCAAAACCAGATTCCAGATTACCATTAATTTTGAGCTGGTAAGGGTAATGGACTGGCACAGGTGGCTACGTACACCCACATCAACCACTTTCAGAACATTTTCTCATTTTAACAGATCCTTAACATGAAAAACCAGAGCAGCACATTATACTCTGGTATTCTACCAAAGAGATATTCCATTTTTTTAAATCTAATATCATGAAGTTAATGGTAAAATTGTTGTTACTCCGAGCGGATAGGGGATTTTTCACTCTTAGTAGTGCTGTTTTCTGGGGAAAGCTTTTTTTCCTGAGAAACTCATCATGGAAAGTGCTTTGGACTCTTCTTGCTGACTGCCCTTAATTGAACAACACTGCAGCAGCATCGTGTGACAGCAGCATTGCTCCTGGGGGGGATCTCTGTCAGACAGTTCTGAGACGAGAGTAACAGCCAAGGTTATTTTTAAAGCACCAGAAGTAACTTAATCGTACCAACATAATCGCCAATCAAGAATGCACAGCTTGCTATTAGGGACACTGATATCTTGTAAAATGAAAAGTAAGCTGCACCTGGTTATTTATGATGTTCTCTTGCTTGTAATGGAACAAGCATGTTATTGCAAATTCACAAGTTAGCAGATTGGTTCGAAATTAACATATTACTCACACGCATTATAGCACTTGTAAGTCAGAGAAGCAAGCGGTCTCCAGTCTCTAATATTCCAGATAGGGCTGTGATTACTCTTTTACTGCCAGTGGTTTAAAGATCAAATTATTAACTTTTTAGAAATTACCTTAACTCCTTCAAGATAAAGTAGAATTTATTTCTGCAATAAATAATGTCTGTGAATTTCTTTCTTCTGATTTCAACAAAATATAGTACTCTTTTGTCATGATCTAGTTTTTACACAAGTAATACCCTCACATACTTCCATAGATACATCATAGAATTTCTATGGTTCAAGTCTTGTCTCCGGACCCATCCAGCAAGCCAAAGGTCAGAGGGGGGTTGTCATTGTCATATAGCTCCAGAAACAGTCTTCTCAAGGAAGCAAAGATGATAAATCAGACAAACAAATCAGATAAACCTGATTTAACAGGACTTTGCACTGTAGAGAATCCTGAAAAAACTGCTTGAATGAGGAGACTGAAAAGTAAAGTTAGCTTTTACTTCTGCTGTCTTCCAGCCACCAGCTCTGAATCGCATTTAGTAGCAAAAGCTAAGACAATAAAAGCAGAGTTTAATGCTACTTGAGGTACGCTCTGCTGATATATTTACCTTGGGAAGACACCTAACAGTGTTATTAAGATGATACTTCTTGTGTTTAAGCGCTTCATCATTTCTGTTTTCTTAACATATACACAAAGAAGGACAGCACTAAAGAAGCACAGCAGTACAAAGGCCTGATGCTGCACGCCCTGCACAGAGCGAGAGCAATTCCTGATCAGATGGAAAGACTTAGGCTGCCCTTCCACACCTCCTTGCTCTGCTGCTGGCTCTAGTGCCATGCTCACGGGCAGTTCCACTGGGGAGCATCTGCACCTGCAGAACAGCTCTGGGCTCTGATCTCCTGGGAGTGATGCTGCCCTCAGCCCTCCTGACCTCCTGCCCTCAGCTCACATCTCGCGCTGTTTGTTTTGGCACAACTGCTTCCCTCCCCCGAGGCCACATGGAAAATGAGATCAAGGAACTGATGCGAGTTAAAAATAAACAGGGATAAAAACAAACATTTACTGTGCGGTTAAGAAACAGTTGTTGCAGAGCGATGGGCAGACAGGGGTAGGCAGGCAGAGCAGCTGAAGCTGTTGGAGAAATGAACGGCATGTGGCATCGGCCCAGTGCTGGCGGCTCACATCGGGTCCTGATCTCTGGACACTCCTCAGAGAGTGGGCTCCTGCACCAAACAGGTGCACGCTGTGTTTGCCACTGGCCCTGATTAACCAAGCCTGGAGGTTGTTTTCTTTTGCTCTAGAAGGGGTCAGAAAAAAGGCCCGAACAATTGTGAGGCAGGCACCCTGCTGCCTGTGCTGTCCCTAACAAGTGCTTACCTCCAATTACTTATTGCTGTTTGGTGCTTCTCAGGAGGAGATGCACTTAGCAGTCAAGAGATGGAAAGCAGTTCATGATTCTGAGTCTCTGCCCTTACCTTCTTAAGAAAACAGTGGGAATAAAACAAAACTGAGAGGCATATTTGCATTTGCAGCAATGTTTGAAATTACAGACTGTAACAGAACTTAAGCTTTTCTTTTTCTTTTTCTTTTTTTTTCTGTGGCAGAGGGTTGGAGATTCATGATCCTTGAGGTCCCTTCCAACCCTGGCCATTCTGTGATTCTGTAAGCTTTCAATATTTATTATTTTCTCATTCACAAATTAATATCTAGCACTCCACTTGAATTGGCTTATCCATTTCAAGACAGAACAGAGAGCTGCTTTATCTTTGGCTGAGAATTGCTGGCCCTAGGGCTCTGCTTTCTGAGCTGCTAACTGCTCCTGCACACCAGAAGCACCTTCAGCTCTCGTGGAAATTAATAGGCTCTGCTATAGACACACATCCTGGGCCTGCTTTTGCTTTTTATTAAGAATTCACGAAATGGCTGTTCCAAGATGACACCAGCTGCAGTTGTTTATACTGGAAAGCTGTTGCAGTGTTCCAGCAAAACTGGAACCAGGAACTCTTTGCTCCAGAAAAAGAAAATCCACACATGGAATTCATTTGAAAAAACCTAACCAGAGCAACACTGAGCACAACTTGTGATGCTGGGTATATGTTTATACTGTTCTGATCACGTTAAAGACATTCATCACAAGGTGATGTTTCTGACCCACTTTCCTAATTTTCACCTCTCTGAAATCTTGCACAAAATATGTTAACTAGAGAAGTAATAATCCTAACCACCAACTTCAGCTGGTCAAGTTATTGTCATCTGGAGGTTGCTGCCTGGCCAGCAGGATGAACTGTTGAGGGAGTGGGAGGACACCAATTCCTTAATGGATTGTATAAATTCAAGCAGCAGTTCCCCATTTAGCCATGACTTGGTTCTATGTCCAAAAGGACAAAATGTCCAAAAAATCCCTACAAGTACATGTGGTTGCTTGAAAATGTGACTGCTAAGAGTGACCTGATTATTTATTTACATCAAAATAATAAACTGTGATGCCGTAACTTATAATTAATATTTCAGCAGTGGCCATGAAGCAAAAGGAAAACTAGCCTCAGAGTTATTAGAATGACTGTCATTCTTAGCACCCTTTCTCCCTCATTCATCACTCTAGGAGCATAACCACAGCTTTCTCCAAAACCTTGATCAAATAAATATGCCTTTCACTATGTCTAGAGAGTCAGTGCATCTGGACCAAGCAAGGCAGCACACTGCAGAGACTTCCAGTCTCCACAGAGCACAGAGTGCCAGCATTGCCTCTCTTTATCTGATCAAGAATAGCCAGCCGAAATGCCTTTACTAAGCCAAAACTGTAGAGAGGCAGTCCCTCAGGATTCAAGCCAGGGTTTTTTTCCAGTGACAGATATATTCCATCTTTGTCCATATTAAAGGCACATTCTTCATTGATTTCTTTGTTTACTCTTTCCCTTATTCTGCAAGGAAGAATGAAAGTCTAAACTCTGCTTTCTCTATGACAAGTGTGAAGGCATTCTTTGCAGGATATTAATCACACAGTGAGAAGCACTGAGACCACTTAACTCTCTATAAATTACAATTCTATTTCCACAGATTATCCAAAGACTGCTTTCTCCAAAGTCTGGACAAACAATAACACAAGAAATTAGTGAATATTCTTCTCCAGAAAGTGGAATGCACAGTCAAAAGAGAGCTCACACTATGGGGGCAAAAAATAATAAACCCAGTGGAAAAATCAGGACATACATAATTGCAGCTATATTTTTTCTAGCAGCAAAGTAGATTTATGAATTTCCTTCTTGTTACCTTTGCGCCTATGAAATTCACTGTCTCTGCAGTCGCCTTTGGCTAATGGTGAAAAACATTACAAATTAGCATGGTCCCATCATGCAGAGGCTGTGGATCCACACTGTGCATCAGTTAACAACCCACATGAAAAAACTCAGGTGATACTTCCCCTGCAGGCTGTGAGTGCTGATTGTACAACACTGGAAACATGGGCATGGTGCTAAAGGAAACAGTGCATGGGCTATTCCACGCTTAAAATGTGTTTCTATGCTGAATTAGATGGAATCTGGTTTTAAAAGGTGCCCTTCCTTGGTAACATAATGCAGCCAAAACAAAATCATCAGCCTTTATTGGGAGACTAACCTGACTTTTAATTGGGTTGGTGTGGTCTTTGCTCCAACTGTCTCTGCACATAGTGATCTATTTTCAGTTAATATGAATCCTGAGAGGACATATGGCTTGGAAACGAATCCCTTGCCTAGTAATAGGAGTCAAGTATTATCTGCACTTGAAAGTTCAACTGGATTAACATATAATTATAGAAGCTATTCTGGAATAAACACTTCACAAAAGGAGATCCTTTCCATTCCCATTTTGCTTCATTTCCACTAACTGCTCGGGGAGGAAACTCCACGTGGAAACTCACCCTTTGTTTTGCAACGTTATTTTTATTTTCTGCCCCCTACAGTAGTTTGGAGAATGTTTTTATTCTCCCTCAGATTGGATAGACATAGCTTTATTAGCTAAAGCAGCAGCATAAACATCAGTAGACCAGCAGGGAATTGATTTCTTTACCAGCAGTGAAATAGTCCGGCACCATCAGTGGCTGCTCCAGTAGTAGACTGTGTCAGCACACTTCTGGTGGTTTGCCCTTTTAACAAAAAATGTGGCTTGTGGCTTCCCCAGAGGCCCAAACCACACTGAGCTCGATGATCTCTTTTTGTGACAGAGTTTCAGGGATGAGCTTCCAGTGTAAAAGGAACTCTGGTTGAAGAGCTGTCTTCTAGCCATTAAATATTTCTAGATATTTGTAGGGTTGGTTGTTGGTTTTTTTCTCCCCGCAAATGTACAACAGGTTTTTGCTCCTCACATGAAAGTCTGTGTGAGGTCTGTTTCCTGAATGATGTTTGGTGGGTAAATCCTAACAAAGTCCCCCTTATAGAGGCAGTGGTGGAAATGGTAACAAGACTGTCCCTTCAGTCAACCGTGATCTTCATAACTGAATCATACTAAATTTGCAGTTCTTTTTGAAGCTATAATGAAAATGTGTTGTAATAACCATTAAGGCAGACGCTGTTTTTATCTGCTGACAAGATATAACAGCCTTCAGCTTGGGCAGTAAAAATATCAATACTAATCCCAGGCTGTAAATTGATGCTACAGGGATTTTGGTGATTTATGAGTTTGCATGACACTCTTGTGCCCTGTCTGCACAGCTGAGAGACACAGCTTGCATTCAGGTTAAGTTTCCAGCTATCTGAGTTGCAAAAGCAGTTTTCTAAATACTTGGTTTACTTGTTTATATTTAGTCAATACAGTTCACAACAGCATCTTATGAAGTTCATAGCACTCTTGGCTAAGAGCAAAATTGCCTTCATTTTATGGGCTGTGAAATTTTGCTGTGGAGGCTACTGGCAATGAAATGCTGAGGTCAGATTTGCCTTTGCTTCCACTCTCCTGTTTCTCAATTTTCAGTCAAAGAAAACTCAGGTACTCTGTCTGCCTGTGAGCTGTGATGCCTTTCAGCCAAATGTCCCATTTAGAATCATAGAATCATAGTCATCGAATGGCTTAGGTTGTAAGAGATCTCATAGCCCAGTTCCATCTCCCTGCTGTGGGCAGGGCTGCCCCCCACCATCTCAAGCTGCCCAAGGCCCCATCCAGCCTGGCCCTGAATGTCTACAGGGATGGGGCACCCACCACTTCTCTGGGCAGCTGTGCCAGGGCCTTACTCTAGGAGTAAAGATTTCTTCCTAACTTCTAACCTAATTCTTCCCCTTTTTAGTTTGAAGACATTCCCCCTCATCCTGTCACTACCAGATGGTGTAACAAGTAGTTCCCTCTCGTGCTTGTAAGTTCCCTTCCACTACTGAAAGGACCTGGAGGTCAAGAACATGGAGTATGGGTTTGATTAGCTATCTGCCTTTTGGATTTGCACCTTCCCGGCTGGAACAGCATTTTGTTCTATAAATTCAGACCCTTCCTTAATTCTACACTATATACACATCTCTGAATGACCTGAAAAATATCGCTTAAAAATCACTGCACTTCATTATTTAAAGTGACTTTGTGCTCAATGACACCTTAACTTAACAATGAAGTCAATTATGATGAATTAAAGCTACTTTAATTCTGGATTAGAAAGCCTAACATGACTTAATTTAGTAAGCTAAAGCTATTTTAAATTCATATCTTCCAAAGTGTGATCATTTTCTGAATGTTTGCATATGTAAAAGAGAAATCCAATTGAAAATAACAAAGAAGTTGTTTTACCAGAAGCAGATGGCTAATTTTGTTCCATGCCACGGCCCTTTTTCAACAGTCATGTTCTTGGGGCAGGAAAAAGGAGTATTGCAGTGAAAAAAACAAACATTTATAACCCCCACTCCAGGGGACACTCTAACAAAAGGAACAACACAGACCTTCAAAGTGGAACAACTACATAGCTGTTGCACTAGAAGCAAGATAAAGGAAAGCAAACCATTCTGAAATGGGTGAGAAACAGAAACAATCTGAATAATTATTTTCTGTCTTCACAAGGCCCGGATGCTATACGTGATCACAGAACAAGGAGGCCCGAGCACACTCACTACATAGGATCAACATCTCCAGCAATAGAAGGTAGCAGTGATGCTGGCTACTTGTGGCGGCCGGCCTCCTGCTTCTCATCCCCACCGCATCGCCGATGTCAGTACGCCACAGAAATCGGGTGGGGAGTGAAAGAGCTCAGCTTTTTCACCTGGAGAAATCTCCAGAGCGGAGCGCAGATCAAGGTAAGGAAGACTTCATAGCCCAAAATACCACAGTGCCAGAAGGCAGAACAAAGCCCAGCTCTGTTTTCTATTTTCATCCTGGATCGTCACCAGGGCAGAGATCATCCATGGACTAAGCAAGGGAGAACACAGCTCTTTGATTATCAGCCTGCAGAAGCCTCAAGTTATATCTTTGTAAGGTTTTGCTTGAGAGCATGCGATCTAACAAGCCTCTGGTGTTTGTGGTGATCCATAAAGCCAATTAAAGCTTCCTGGACAAGGAGCACACCTGGTAGAGAGGACCCATCCCACAAGGACAGAGGGGTCAGGGTTAGGTGTCTTTCTCTGCACAGCCCAAAGAGATGTGCAGCCCTGTAAATAGCCGTTGTGTTGACCATCATCTCCTGCCATTACTCAACAAACATTTACTGCTGAAATCAATCTGGAGTGAATCAGAACTTGTGAAAACACATATAAGGGTGTAAATGCATTGTACACATGCATAGCCTAGATGTATCAGTGTATGCGAGTTCTACCTAAACACTAGTTTTGTGGCATTGCTTTTCAGAATTCACTGATGTGCAGCTAAATTCTCTTCCTTCTTAACGAAAAAGGGCACTTTAGAACCTTTGCATTGAGCCGTGTATCACAGAATCACAGAATGGCCAGGGTTGGAAGGGACCTCAAGGATCACGAATCTCCAACCCTCCTGCCACAGGCAAGGCGAACAATCTCCACATTTAATACCAGCCCAGGCTGCCCAGGGCCCCATCCAACCTGGCCTTGAACACCTCCAGGGACGGGGCATCACAGCCTCTCTGGGCAGCTGTTCCAGCACCTCACCACTCTCATAGTAAAGAACTTCCCCCTGACATCCAACCTAAAACTTCCCTCCTTCAACTTAAAACCATTTCCTCTTGTCCTGCTGTTATCTACCCTTTCAAAGAGTTGATTCCCCTCCTGTTTGTAGGCTCCCTTTAGGTACTGGAAGGCTGCAATGAGATCACCCCACAGCCTTCTTTTCTCCAGGCTGAACAAGCCCAGCTCCCTCAGCCTGTCCTCATAGGGGAGGTGCTCCAGCCCCTTGGTCATCTTTGTGGCTCTCCTGGACCCTCTCCAACAGCTCTCTTTCTTGTACTGGGGGCTCCAGACCTGGATACAGTACTGCAGATGAGGCCTCACAAGGGCAGAGTAACAGGGACAATCCCCT